CTCTATGTCATAGAGATTGATGCTGCTCCGGATGGTGTCCCCGTCCCGGCGGAGATTGGAGTAGAAGGCCCGAACATAGGCGGGATTGAAGGATTGACGGCTTCTGGAGACGAACGGCCACAGACCCGACTCTTTGAGTTGATTGTCGAGGTCGTGGTACCCCTTTTGTTGAGGGTACAGCTCCGGGAGCACGCGGGGCAGAGAGATCGGGCGCTTGGCAAAGTAAGTGATGAAGCGAGAGAGTTCCTCTTCCGACCCGAACTCCAAGAAGGATCCGTCCAGGTACGGGAAAGGTTGAGGCGCAGAGCTCGTGGCCTTGGCGACGGTCTTCTTCTTGGAGGCCTTACTCTTGGACTTTCCTCCGGCCATGATTGAGATGCTTTTGAAAAACGAGAGATGAACTAAGTAGATTTGGATTAAGGAGTGAAAATATGATGTTAATGGTGTATTAGAATGAACAAATATGATGGATATATATAGGGAAGGAAGGATTTGGCCGTTTGGATTCAAAAATATGGCTGTTGGGCAATTAAGGTGGTGCCCAATGGCTCTGAATTTTTGAAATGCACCAGCCTTCCCAGCGATGGGTAGATCTTCCCATCGATGGGAAGGTCGCCACTGGAATGCGAAGGAGAGAACAAGGCTGCAGGTGGCTACTGGAAATCCGAAAAGATGTTTTTTTAAAAAAAAGTGTCAGACACCCAGCGAAAAGATGTCCGAAAAGATGTCCGAAAAGGGTTCTTCACCCAGCGATGGGATAAAATACCCATCGATGGGTTAGGGTGTTCTGGAAATCCGTTAAGTGTTTTTTTTAAAAAAAGAGTCAATTACCCATCGATGGGAAGAAGCACCCATCGATGGGAAGAGGGGTTCTGAAAAAAATAACACTTCCCTCCCAGCGATGGTATGGCCTACCCCTCGCTGGTTCCCCCTGATTTCCAGAATTCTTCACTTCGAACCATCCCTGCAAAAAAGAGTTAGAAAACCCTCCGACGCTCAAGTTAGTAAACGTTCCAGTAACAATAAAAGAATGATAAAATGCACAAATTAGATCATCGTGGAGTCAAGGATTCCGAGTTCGCTACGAATGCGGAAGAACGACTCTTTCTCTAAAGGTTTTGTGAAAATGTCGGCTAATTGGTT